ACTTCATCTCTCTTATTCGCAACACATTAATACCATGGGTAGCAGTCATTCTCCTCAAGTACGTCGCGGTAGGTTTGCAAAAAAGTCCCCGTATTTTTCAGTATTCAACCCGCAGTCCTTTTGTAAGTGAGAAAACGTTTCGATCAGAAATTTTGCAAATAAATCCCTACAGTATATGGTATTAAATCCGCGGTCCTTAAAGTGAGAAAAAAAAGAAACCCATCGGGATCTCCTCTCTCTCCCTCGCCTCAGCCGCCAGGAGCGGCGGTCAATCCGGTGCCGCGCCGGCCGCGGGCCGCCGGCCGGTGCCGGCGAGCGTCCGCGCCTTCGGAGTCTTCCTCTGCGCCTTTCTGCATGGGGACGCGTTCGGAGGAGCTCGCTGCCAGGTTGGCGGCCGGGGGCCCCGGCGGCGTCGGCGGACCAGCAGGAGGAGGATGCGGGGAGGGGCAGCACGAGCGGGTGGTCGCGCTCCGCGAGATCAAGAACCAGACCTTCGGGAACCAGACCAAGAAGCTCCTCTACCTCCGCCTGGGTGCCGTGTTAGCGGTCGTCACGGCGCGTCACCAGCCATGCTCGTCCATGAGCGGCCGCGGCGGAGTACTTTGCTTGCGGCGTAGACGATGGCGCGCATGCCGTGCTTGCTGCTGGAGCCGTGGGGCACCTCCTCGCCCACCCCGATAACAAGGTCAGCTTCCTTCAATTGCTTGTTTCCTTAATTTCGTGTATGCTTGCTCGGTTTGGGGATTTGTTGATCAATTGGGAGAATATTTGTTGCGTGCAGAAGAGCTGGTGGGAGGAAATGGGTGGCTACCCAGCAACTGCTTGCTGGTTGCGCCAATTTGGGGCTTGCTAGCAATTGTGCTTGTCCCTGAACTATAGACCAAAAAGAGACAATGCTAACTTAATGAATGTTTTGTGTGGGAATTAGTCTGTACATTAGCCACAACCGGATCCAGATTGAGGTTGGCGGTCGATACCAACGCCGTCCTGGATGGCGTGCTCGAGATCGAAGGCGGGGAACTCCAGAAGGCAGACGGCGGCATTGCCTCAGTTGTAGCTGCATGGGGAAGAGGAGGGGTGGAGGAGTAGACGCTGCATCTCCATCCGCCGTGATGGGAGTGATGGCGCCGGCGCTCGCCGTGTCCGCCGTCAGCTCCATCTTCACGATGTTATCCTCGATTGGAAGTTCGAGCGCCCTCACAACAGGACTTACTCCACCCCTTCTCCCTCCCCGTTCCCTTCCCCTGGGGGTTAATTGAAGTATTTATATTTCCGTATTAGTGTGGTTCAACTTGCTATTGGGCATATGGTGTGTTTTCTGAATTTTGGTCTGAAAGATGATTTTGTGAGTTCAAGCTTTTGTGCGATTCCTGATGTTGTGTTCCTGCCAAATGACATATGTCCTGCACTGAATTTTTCTGACGCTATAATCATGGCAGGAGCTTTGTACTGGGAAAGCATGTCAGAATTATCTAGAATTGATGGACTTTAGTTGGTGTTTGTTTGCTGGATGGAATTAGATTTGTGGATATATCAGTTTATGGGTGGCTACTTGATTGGTGAATTCACCTGCTATATGAACACTATTTTTAATAAATGGTGTGCATCTAGAGATGTATAAGAACAAGTTTGAGGATAAAGATTCATATAAAGAATTATGTAAAAAATTGTGATTCTTAATATCTTGAGAACTAGCGTATATTTTTTCCACTACATTAGCCTTCAGATTTTTCTTGGATTTGCTTTCTGCACTAATGTTTTCAGTACCATCCTTCTTCCGCGATGCTGCTGCATGCCAGGATTCGCAGTGGCACCGCCGCAGCCAGCGAGGACACAAGCTCACGAGGATTGTTGCCGCTTCGGAGGACATGGGAGCTGCCATAGCCAGCGAGTACGTGAGCGCACGTAGGCACCATCGTTTTCGAGGATGCGAGAGCCATCTCAGCTTGAGAGAATGCGCATACCATCTCCAGGTATATAGCAGTAACATCTCTCCCTAACTCCACTCCGATATGTAACATTTTTTTCTCTCCTATTGTGAGATTGCAGTGTGTGCAACAAGTGTTCCTCTAAACGTCTGAGCGTAAAGACTACTCATGGGTGATGCTTCTGTGACCAGACCTCTATGTATGTCCTTTGCGGCCTTTCCTATAAATAAATTATAAGTATATGTCATTGCCATATTAATTGTGTACTTCTCTATTAGAAAATCACAAGATAGTTTCAGTGTTGTTGTTCTCAATCATGTTACCCTTAAGTGCAAGACATCAATTTGCTCTTAAGTAAAAGGGAAATTTGAGCAGGAAAGGTAAGCAATTCGAAGCAAGCTCCCGAGATAAATTTTCTTTTGGTTTAGCTAACGAATGCCTTGGTATAGGTCTAATCTCTCCTTCCTAGAGATGGTTCTTTCTTATTTCTTTTACGGGGACTTACTTTTGTTTCTTTAATTAGGATACCTTCACCTGGTATTTTTTGTTTTAATTAATGAATATAGATCAGTTGCATTGTTTTGTCTCAACCAAGCTAGCCGTATAGTAGAAATTCAGCATGCACACAAGGTGATCTAGTTGAGTTTTACTAGGTAACCGTACCATTGTTGTCTGCATGCTGAAAAGCTTATGGGTATGTACTGAAACTAAATTATACTCCCTCCGTCCGGAAATACTTGTCATTGAAATAGATGTATCTAGATGTATTTTAGTTCTAGATACATCTATTTTCATCCATTCTGATGACAAGTATTTCCGGACGGAGGGAGTAGTTGTTAAGGATTATTTGCAGACAGGTCAAGACCGGAAGATGTCATCATTATCCCTAAACTGAGATGTCTTCAGGATTGGAAATGTCACGAAGGCCCCCGTACAATTATAGGTACCAACATATAAAAATCCAAGAATTTCCCGCTAAGAGACACTCGACATGCAAACTTAAATCATGCTAGAATTCGTCAAATACCATGTTTAACCTGAATTAGTTACTTGACATGTGCCTATCTTCTTCTTTTTCCAAATTATGTGTTCAATTGTTCATCATATTATTGATGGAATTAATTTTGCATCGATTGTTTGCACCACTTGATAATTACAACGAAAGTTATGGATGTCCAATCTGGCTGGTTGTTTGTCTACTACTAAAGCTTGTACATATTTGCTTAAATTTGAATACATGTCAAAAAAAATCTCCCGTTGCCACACACACATCCGTGGCAATTGTTGAAAGCTCTGAATGCTTCACTCTTTGTTCTGATGCTTAGGGATATTGGGTAGAATCCAGTGTCACTCATGATCCTGGTTTAATAGAGGAACTGAATTGATCATGATTTTGAATGTCAAATGTCACACAGGGAAGGGCCTGAACATGAACTTACTTGGTAATGCCCATTTGTGTAGATCGGTAGCCTGTGGCATCTATTTTGTCCAATCGTCCGCCACGAACAAATTTTCTTTGTTGGGTGCTGGTGGTTCTACTTCCAATGTTTTTGTAGGACATTGCTCGGTTAGTAATGACTTTGAATGTAAAGCGTGCTATGAAGTACATGATGCGCTGTGTAGTTCCCTCAATTACGTGAAGAAGAAGAATGGCAGCAAAGACTTATGGTATGATACCTTAATATATTTGATTGTCTTGATACCGTGTTTCCTTTCTTTTTCATATAGGAATTACACTAGGTTATTTTTACTATGAAACACGAATTCCACTGTTATCAGGGGGTTTGAAACCTAAGGCAGAGTCACTGTTTTCTCCCTCCAGGGTCAATTTTGTTTTTCTCGCTTTAGAATATTTTCTAACCATGTATCTAAAACTTGCAATATGCTACTTACTAACTATGGCCTTGCATAGGATGGAAGATACACTCATCGTCACACATATGTTTTCACTCATCGTCAAGCATTGCACTCCCAATGTCCATATATTGTTCAATTACCACTGATGTCGACCTAGGTTATAAACCAAAATAAGACAATCCTTAGCATGGTTTTCCAAGCTATGTCGCTCTTTGAGACATGCTTGATAATTACAAAAACATTGGAAGTTGAAAAATGTTTATCCTTAAAGACTTTATTTTATAAGTTTATTTGTCACAATCAAATATATGCCTCTATATTTGTTCAGATTCCTGCAATATGCTATATTGAAAATTGATTTGTTAAATTTGCATGGCCAGATGGTCATATGGATAGAAGTATTAGCATAAAAAAACCCAGATATTCCACAAATGAAGGGCCTTCTTTAACTGAATTGAGTGTACGCAATGCAAAGCCTTCGCCCAAGAGTATGACAATGATGCTGAACAAGCCCTCAAACCTATGGCATTTAAATAAACTGATCGTGAACTGAAGCTATGTGAACGATGGGATATTTTTGTTCGTAGTAATAAAAATATTATTGCAGTAACTTACATTGAGGTTACATACACAGGGATAGAGAGAGAGAGGACATGACGAACGTTAAGCGGTTTGTAGTTGGGGGAGGGGCGGATCTGGAGCCATGCTTAGGGCGTGTGCTATTTGTTTTCCCGTTGCAACGCACGGGCAATTTTCCTAGTTATTTACAAAAAAAAAAGACCACAACTGAAGAAGTAATATTGCTGGTTACCTTTGAACAACCTCTGCACTATCCGCGAAACTGCAGCAGCTTCAATTGTGTTTTTCAGGCTACGTCCGTGCTTCTCAGTTGTTTCATGTCCTCCATCTGCATTTATGAATGAGTATGACCCAAAGATTTTGCTTGCTAAGAATCTCTTTTCATAGCTCTTAGTAGTGACATTGGGACCGTCAGATATCTTGCCATCGTAAAACGTAACAACTGGAAACTTGCTTATTTCTGGATGCATCCTGTATTGCACATTGAGAAGGTGCTTACTATAACCCAGCATACTTAACCTCTCAAAAACACTTCTCCCGAATTTAGCATTGTCAGATATCTACAGAATCATATTACATGTCAATACATTGCTCTCAAAGGAAAAATTGAAAGAAGAGAATAGCCAACACATATAGCTTACTTTGCTTTTCACCAGAGCAGGTAACTGATATTCGTCTCCAATAAAAACAGCCTGCTTTATGCCTGGCAGCTGCAAGGGAATTAAGGTCTCACACTCTTTAAGCTGTGCAGCCTCATCAACAATCAGCAACTCCAGAGGATTCAACTTAACAGAAGAAGAATCGTCCATGAGCACACCGTACAACGTGAAAGAACTGGAAACTGTACAAAGAATGCATTTCGCGCTCTGCAGAAGATGCAGTTGAATTTCCCTCTTGGTGTAATAATTTGGAAGCTCCAAGTTTTTGCGAAGATATCTTAATTCTTGCACACACAGGGATCTGGCCAGCTTGAACTTGGATTTACTGCATGTGTTAGTCCGCACACAGGCTAGCTTCTCAGGCCAGGAAATAGGATTACTGTCCTCTTCTACTTTGCCCTCAAGAAGTTCCTCTGACCATATATCATCATTACCCCTGTCACGATTTATAAAAGCATGGAGAATTTCGATTAATTCAAGCACTTCCAGCATACACTGAAAACTCTGTTCTGCTTCAGAGCTTCTTGGATAATCATTATACAGTATCTCAATGCAACAACACAAATCCTCAGAAAGTTTGTTGTATCTATCTTTCAAATACTTCTCGAATGGTACTTCTCTGAATGCCTCCATCATAGCTTCATAGTCATGCCATCCTTCCTTATGGCACTCTTCTTCGTCACCTTCAGACCTGTTATGGATTGTCTTGCAGAACAGAGAGAAAGGTGCGACAACATGACCTAAAGGATAACGAGGGCGCAAAGAATGTGCATCCTTGCGCTGGAGGCGTTTGTCCCCATGCTTTTCAGAAATCTCCTTTTCCCTAAGAATATGCTCAATATGCAATTTGTACCTGGTCACAGGATTCTCAATAAGATCTATCAGTGAGCACAAGCAATGCCTCCAACCAGTATGTGGTACGAAACATGACGACAACCGCTTTGCACGTGAGTCAAGGAATACCGTGGAAAGATCATGATCACCATCTATTTTCATCCTCTCCTTATTTCCAAACAGGACAATGTTATTCAGAAAGCAGACGCTACCATCTGAGGACTCTCCAACAAGCCTGACAATTCGAGATGCAACTTCCAATACGGCAGTATTGGTTGGTGCACAGGTAAGTGTCTTTAAGCCCTTGATGAGCATTGCCCACAGGATAGTGCTGATAGTTTTTGTTTTACCTGTCCCAGGGGGCCCCCATATTAGTTTTAGGGAAGGTGAGTGGTTCTCCATTACTGAGACACAGTCTGCTACTGCATTCAGCTGTGAATCATTTAAGTTGAACTTCTCAAGGCCAAGACCATCAATTGATCTATGAGTGAAGCATTGAGATATCTCCGAGCATGACGAGAGATCATCCACTACCTTCAAGGGCAGATGGCAAGTAAATCATTTATCTAGAATAATGAGTATAAAAACATTTCATTGTGAAATAAGGTATGGGAGTTGTCTCATTTACATTCAGAGGACATGGTTACTATCACTGTCAGGTTCAATGTGATATGAACTGTAAGCATTAGCAAATTAATGTTAATGCAGAGAATTTTGCATGGAGCCACGGTTGCCAAAGCATAACCAGAAAGTAAGAGCTCGTGCCTATCCATGTAGCAAGTACTAACTTTTAATACATATAAAAGTTGATATCAGGTAGAATAAGGTATCAAAAAGGACCTAAACTTATTTTTGCATATTAAACAACTGGCCTACCCTTTGCTTGTATCGCCACACCAGATCGACGATGCCAGTACTACTGTTTCCGTTCTGATGCTCTCCTTCCGCATAAAGGCAACCCCATATACGGTTGTATGTCTTCATATTTATGAGAAACACAGCAAATGATGGCCCCGTAGGAATTTTTGTTTCTGGATCTACTTCAACAGGAATAGTGGATGAAAACCGAACAATACAACAATTGGGTGGGATGTCTCCGTCTTCTTTGTCTCCACATTTTAGAACTGAACCTAAAACATATGATCCCTTATTTTGTGTCAAATCAGACACATGTTGTGGTTTCTGCAAGGACACAACCATGATGTCCCCTTCTTTGGGATCGTATGTCTCCCTCGACTTCGGATTCTTTGATGGCTCGGAAACCTCAAAACAGAATATTGATTTCTCATCATCAAGTTTCTCCACCCACATTATTTCTATAAAGTTTGCCTGAGCATAACCGTCCAATGATGAAAAGACATCAGCATGTACTTCTTCAATCAGAGGGCATTTGAACGAGTTCAAATAAGTGTGCAATGACGTGAAGGTATCCGGTATGCTTTTGACCTGCAATGAGTGTCCAGATAACTTGATTAGTTCTCATATGAAGTAAAATTTAATAAGAGACAATGATCGATGTGAAAAGAACGATGCAATAGACAACTAGGGTGAGGTCCAGTAGGGGATACACCATATCGTCTACCCTATACTGGAATGCAAGTACCCAGCATAATGAAAAAAAAATAGATAACTTTGTTGAGAAATCAGGATTTAGAACTGGACTAATACCAGAAGAAAATAACTCCCAAATTTATTAACATGACAAACATGCCAGGTGCACGAAGAGTATAAATATACGGCTAAATGGCTCCTGAGCTCATCTGTTCCCGCGCATGAACAGTAAAATCAAAAGAAATACTAGAAAAATTCAAAAAAATCTGAATTTTTTTGGCATGGAAGACGGTTTAGTGCGTGTGGTTCGTGCCAAATTTCAGCTCATTTGGACATCTGAGCAACTCTCAACAAAAAAAAATTAGGGTCTGTGAAATAGTTTACTGTTTGGCACTGTCCGGGGCAGATTTTGTTATTCTTGCTGAGAGCAGCTCAGATCTCCAAATGAGTTTAAATTTGGAACGGACCTCACGCACTAAAATATATTTCACACCAAAAAAATCAGGAATTTTTTGAATGTTTTTAGTATTTTTTTTTTCGATTTCACTGTTCACCGAGATCAGATGAGCTGGGGAGCCAAAATGGATATTCGTATAATCTAGAGTGTACATAAGTTACAGTCTTATGATGGGTGGTTTCATCGGCCACCTGTGGATATTTCACCGAGACAAGTGCGATTGGTTGAAAGATGTTCCTATTTAAGGGGGAATTTCTGCTTCGCAAAACAACGAGCATCTAGCGTGCAAGCTCCGGTCACCACCAATAAAGCACAGCTGAGTAGAAACTACTACTAGTAGAAATGAGAGATACTAGTGGGTGCGGGCAGCGTAGCAGCCGCTGCCTCCATTGGAGGAGCTCGACCCATCATCTCTCCGGACAACGAGGAAGCACAGGAACGAAAGAAAGGGGGAACGTTGAATGGGCCTTGCTGAGCGACGAGAGAGAGCCTAGATGGCGATTACCACACAACTCGGCCGTTCGGCCTCTGTCTTTTGTAAAACACAGCAGCAGTTTAATACACTTGGATGCTACCCTAAAAAAAAGTACACTTGGATGCTGAACTACTGTAGTACTTCAGTATCTCAGTTATCTTGATGACAGTGGAACTCGATCATAAGGTCGTATAAAATAAAGATACCACTTCCAGATTACGTTCAAAAGAGAAGGTATATCATGTTGCTATCTACTCCCTCCGTCCGGAAATACTTGTCGTAAAAATGAATACAAATGGATGTATCTAGAACTAAAATACATCTAGATACATCCATTCCTCGGACAAGTATTTCCGGACGGAGGGAGTAGTAAAGAGATCTAAACCCCTGCAAAACATAGAAGTCTTAGAAAAGCGAAAATCAGATGGCGCAAATTTATTGAGAGAAATCTACAATAGGAGTACATTTTTTTGTGAAAAAAAAACTGTAATAGTATAAGTAGCTCTACAGATTATGAGCACGTAGAACCTTTCGCATGGCGCATCTGAACATTCCCAAAAATACTATAGTCAAGGTCTATATATTTTCGCTGCATATTCATTTGATTTTGTTTTACTAGAAAGGAGTACCATCTGTTCAGCTAAATGAACAGCAGGATGGATAAAAAAAAATCAACCAAGCCCGGAAGAAGGAAAATATGTGGAACCACAGTGACTGAGTTAAAAAATGCATCTTACAAGCAAGCAAGGTGAGAACTCAAGATCAGTCGTACGTCACCTGCTGCCTGAGGAGGTCCCTGTTGAAGATATCTTCGATGGACCAAGAGAATACTCTGCTCTCCAGGCAGCCAAGAGAGAACTTGCTGAGCTTCCGGTCATCTTTCGCCACCGCATCCCAGTAGCTACGCACGGCCTCCCTCTTCATTTTGGCCACCCTCTTCTTCTCGGCCGCCAGCTTGTCCTCTGCACTCATGAACTCCTCGTCTCTGTCACCCATGGTGCTCTATCCCCACTGCCCTCCTCGATCGCCTCAGGGAGACTGCGAGAGTGTGTGAGGCCGATTGTATTCCCAAGCATAAAGTGGAGTGGTGGCAGAGTAGAGTAAATGTGTTTGGGTGGGTATCGGCCGTGGGGGTTCCCGAGTTGAAAGTAAATGCAGGTGCGAGATTGGCCGTGTGTGTGAACCGTCTCACTTCCCCATGAGCGCATGCGCCTGATTAGTAAAAGTAGCAAATCCAACGAAAGATTTGCCGTATATGGCGCGATACAGCAGGGAGTTTAGGCCCAATATAAAGAGTTAAATACATCATGAGTGCCTAAACTTATCCGTTGCCGTCAGTTTAGTGACTAAATTTATAAAATACATAAAAGTGGTGCTACAACTTGTCGCATGGTGCATATACGGTGCCTCCGCCCGTATGCCACCGTATTTGCTCTCTGTGTGGCGTGACAGCTGGCGGCTGGCCCACAGATCAGTGGGTGAGCGTTGCGTTAGGTGAAATGCGTACAAGTTTTTTTTTTTTGCAAAAAATCCGGTGAAATTTAATCAAAGTCACAGACAAGTCATTGCTTTGCATGCTAATAACAGGAGAAAAATATACTGCGTCATTGAATTGGTTTCGACCCTGGGACCTCCAGGTTAAATAGCACGCACGCTAGACGCCAAGACTCTGCAATTTCCATTATATATTTTTCAAGTTACTGTTTGGTTTTTACAATATATGTAAAATTTCCAATATACAAATATGCTACTGTTGTCTATTAAACTATTTATTCTATTTTTATTATTTGCAGTTCGAAGAGGTAAACATGAACTGTTTGTAAAATTTATGTGGATTTAAAAAGTTCAATGTATATAACGAAATATTGCGTAACTTTTTTGTATCTTCATTCAGGACCACAAGTACGGAGAATTATTTTGTATCTTCATTGTATTTCTAGAATACATAATTATTAAAAAAACAAAGTTGTATTTTGAAAATTGTTCAATACTTATTAAAAATGATTGTGTAAAAATAATAAATTCTATAAATGGGTTAAAACATGTTAAACGTGTTTGTAGAAATGTAAGAATAATTTTACACAATAATTATTTTAAAACATATAAAGCATTTTATGAAATAGATGTTGTAATTTTTTTTGAATGCGTGACGGGCATTTTTCAAATACACGTTTACAATTTCTTAATACAAGTGAGAATTTTCCCAAAATATCTTGTTTTTTAGGAAAATGCACTAACACTTTTTCAAGTTGATCGCAGGTAATATGTTGAGTTGTTCTCTTTTTTCAAATGTGATAATTTCTTAATAATTTTTAAATTTTTTTGCGAGTCAACCTTTTTCTTTTTTATTCCCTTTATTATTTCGTCCGATATCCCTAACAAATAGTAGTGCATCTAGATAGTGCACAGATAACTGTTCTTGGCTTATTGGTTAGCACATGTGCACGTTGTGCGTGAGGCAATGAATTTGAATCCTGTTGGTGCGCTATTTTTTTTTTGTTATCATACTCTATTTTATCCCACATGCTGACATGCACGGCCTAGATCTAACAGGTGAGATCAATGCAGTTTGGCATGTTTAAATAAAATATCAGGAGCTTTTGTGCAAATTATCTTAAGTACAAGGAATTTTTTGTAAAACAACCAGCCCACTCCTCTCACAGGAATTGACATGTGGGTCCACGTCATGTTGGCACACCATATGGGTTGTGCATATGCCCGGATACGGACGGAGGCACCGTATTTGAACGTTCGAACAAGTTACGGCACCAGCTTCATGTATTTTACAAGTTTAGGCACCAAAGTGATCGCATCAGACAAGTTGAGGCACCAGTGGTGTATTTAACTCCAATATAAAGGATTCCAAGGAAAAATTCTTATAGGTGCATTGGATTGGTAGGAAACAAGAACAACCACCAAAAACGGCTTTCGCCCCGTTTTATATATGAAACAACACATGCGTATCAAAAGAACAGCGGAACTGATACATGGTGATGAGGGGATCCTCTTACAAAGTAGATCAAAAGAAGCAAGAAAAACAGGAGAAGTCACACCCTACCACAAGGCACCCTAGACATTTTCTATGATTTTGGAGAAAACTACACATTTAGTCAAAGCTTTTTATTTATTGTTTCACGAATACGCTCGAGTGTGTATCTTTTTGTTGATAGGTAGAAAAGAAAATACAAGGTTGTAACCTCAAAGCGGCATATACTGAGAGGCACCGATGGGGTTACGGATGAGCAAAGGGGAATGGGGTTGCTCGGCCCCGGTACACAGTGATCAAGTTACAAGGAGGATCATAGCTAGTATCTTGGCGCCTGCGCGTCCCCATCGTCGGGCTTCATCCTTGATGTTGGATAGGAGTTGAGCGTGGGAGGGTTGTATGCCATCAAAGACGATTGTGTTCCTGCGCTTCCAAATGGCCCATGCGGTGATGATGGTTAGCAAAGCAAAACCCTTGCGGAGGTCTTGTGGGGCAGCCATTGTAGCATCCGGACACCAGAAGAAGAAGAAATGGGTCATGCCATCCGGTGTCTGCACAGGCAGTCGGCAGAAGGATAACACATCGTGCCATGTGACACGCGAGAAAGCACAACCGGCGAGAATGTGGTGGAGGGTCTCGTCATCTTACGAGCAGAAGCACACAGTGGAGTATGCTGCATTCCTCTTCGTGCTAGGTGATCCGTGGTCCATCACTGGCTTTGCGACGCCAGCCGAAGGAAGAATTTGATGTTAAGTGGTGCCCAACTGCGCCAAATTAGCTGCCAGAACTATGTCGTCGTGGAGTCGTGGAACAATGCCCGATAGCATGAGCTCGCTGAGTAAGATTCGTTTGTTGTCCAATGCCAGGTTAGAGTATCCGGAGCCATTGAGGGAGTCCTGGATTAGGGGATCCTCGGACAGCCGGACTATATACTTTGGCCGGACTGTTGTACTATGAAGATACAAGATTGAAGACTTCGTCCCGTGTCCGGGTGGGACTCTCCTTTGCGTGGAAGGCAAGCTTGGCAATTCGGATATGTAGATCTTCTTCTCTGTAACCGACTCTGTGTAACCCTAGCCCCCTCCGGTGTCTATATAAACCGGAGGGTTTAGTCCGTAGGACAACAACAATCATAATCATAGGCTAGCTTCTAGGGTTTAGCCTCTACGATCTCGTGGTAGATTAACTCTTGTAATACTCATATCATCAAGATCAATCAAGCAGGAAGTAGGGTATTACCTCCATCGAGAGGGCCCGAACCTGGGTAAACATTTTGTCCCCCGCCTCCTGTTACCATTAGCCTTAAACGCACAGTTCGAGACCCCCTACCCGAGATCCGCCGGTTTTGACACCGACATTGGTGATTTCATTAAGAGTTCCACTATGTCGTCACGATAAGGCTTGATGGCTCCTTCAATCATCTGCAACACGATCCAGGGTGAGGTTTTCCTCCTCGGACAGATCTTCGTATTTGGTGGCTTCGTACTGCGGGCCAACTCGCTTGGCCATCTGGAGCAGATCGATAGCTACGCCCCTGACCATCAGGTCAGGTTTGGAGGCTTGAACTACACCTAGGGATGGCAATGGGGACAAAACCCTATGGGGATACCTACAACATCCCCATCCCCATCTATTCCCTATCATCCCATCCCCATCCCCATTTACATGACTGGGGATGAAATTTCCCCATACCCATGCCCCACTGGGGAACGGGGCCCCATTAGGGTCCCCATCCCCATAAACAAATACTCATATACATAATATGTCACCTTATAATCAACATACATACATGGTGTTGTCCTTGTCCTGCTAATGCC